GGAGAGAATCTGTGACGAGTGTCTCACCTGCATGTGGTCGATTCATGATGACACGTGTCACATTCGATTAGGGAGCATGACTTGTTTCAGCTTGCATATTTGGCTCATTATTTTAAAAATAATTTTACAGTCTCACAAAATCATTTACTTTTAGAACCTTCAGGCTCCTACGTTTTGTGAAAACCTACAATCTCAAAAAGCCCACCCATATGTAAGCAATTGGACTGAAAACTTCCCGTGTGTTTCTGGAAGATTTTTTAGAAAATAGATCACTTTTCAAAACAAATGCTTAGATGGTCACTATTTTAGGAAGTGGATGATCAGAGATCATTTAACAGTGGTCGCTGCTATCTTCCCCTTTCTTGGATTTCCTTTTAGGGATGCCTGCCTTTATTCAAGTCTCCACCAAATGCACAGACTAAGGAGCAGCCCACGTTTCAAACCAACTCAAGATGAGCATTTTGCTTCACAGTGTCCGTGGGCCAAGCGCACGCAGCAGGCTGCAAAAAGCCAAAGTGTTTCTTTCTCTCCCTAACTGGGGCTCAGCCGAGGAGCTGTCGGGTGCAAGGCCCTCCGGGTTTGGAGAGCCTGCTGTCGAGGACCAGGACAGGGGTCCGCCTGGTCCAAGCCGCCTCCGCAGCGCGCTCTGCGCACCCCAGGGCACTGTGCCTGCTTCCCGCGGACCGCTACCGCGGAGAGCCTTGGCTTTGGGGTGCAGGGTGGCAGGGGCCCTGCCAGCTGCCTGCATCTGGCCGGCAAGGTTGGGGGTGACCCGGCAGCCCAGAGTGGAATCACAGCACGGCGGCTGGGCTAGCGCGCTGGGACCCGAGCGATAGAGGCGTAGTCCCTGCGGCCCCGAACCCCGCACGGCGCGCGGCCCGAGCCCCGCCGCCCGACACGGGACACGGGCACGGAGGAGCCTCCCGGAGACTCGGATCGGAACCCACAGGCTCGGCTCACACCCGCGAACTTCCTTCAGGAGCTCGGACTCAGGGGTGGTGGGAGAGAGTCGGACGGGACGGTTGTCTTGGGACAAAGTACCAATTTTGGCGAAAAGGGGAGAATACTCCCCGCGCGCCCACAGGACCACCCCGGCGAGTCCCCGTTCGGGAGACCCGGTCCTGCGCCTCTGGCATTCCATGCGCGTGTCCGGGCCCCACTGCCCCCAGAGGGTGCCACCACCATCCAAGTACCCAGGGTGGGGTGGGCGCAGCGACGCCGCAGCGCAGCGGGCGGGCGCGGGCAGGGCGTCCGATCCCCGCTCCCGGGACGCGCGGCGGCGGGACCTACCAGCGCGGCCAGGATGCGCCGGCTCTTCTCGTCCGTGCAGCGCTCGGAGAGGACGCCCGGGTGCGCACGGAGCAGCAGCGCGCCCGCCAACACCCAGCCGGCGGCCCACGCGGCGCAGGCGAGGAGCGCGCCCTGCCCGCAGCGCCCGCAGCGCCCGCAGCGCCCGCGCCGCCGGGCCCGGCCCCGCGCGCCCGCCGCCCGCGCCATGGCCAGCCCGGCCGCGCCCCCGCCCCGCCGCCGCCCGCTCCCGCGTCCCGCTCTCGGGTCCCGGATCCGCGACTCAGCCTGGCGCGGCAGGGAAGGGGCGGGGAGGGGCAGCGCGAGGGGAGGGGGCGAGCTCGGCGCCCCGCCTAGCCCTGGGACAGCGGATGGGGCCTCCCGCCGCACGCCCTGCTCAACTCTCCCCCCAGCCACCCTTTGCACTTCCTTGGATTTTTTTTTTTTTTGCACTTTTCCCCCAGGAAGCCCAGCTCCCCATTTAAAAGGAATCCGGGTGGCTTCAGCCCCCGCCCCTGTTTTGCACGCCTGGCCCTCTGACAGCGCGTCTTTAATTGCCGGACAGGACCCCCTTCCCGCCGCGGGCACTCAGGGCGCGGCCGCCGCGCTCTGTCCTTCTCCAGGAGCCCCCACCCCGCCGTCCCCGGGACCCCTCGGCGCTGTCGGCTGCAGCTCCGTCCTCCTCCGTCCGCCTCTGATGGACGCCGCCCCCCCCGCCCCCGAGTCCGACCCCAGCTAGGGTTTCCTCCGGGCCGTGCGCAGGGTCTTGGGTCGGGGACAATCAGGCGTCCGGGCGACCCGGCCAGACCCTTCCCAAGGGCACCCCCGAACCAAACCGCCGGGTCTCCGGCTGCCAAAGCCTCGCGGGCGTCAGTCTCCGCGGTGAAGGGGGCCGCACTTTTTAAACATTTCCGCTACCCCCGGCGAGGAGCCAGCGTGCGCCGGGCGTGTCCAATGCCGCATTTCTGCGTCTGCAGCGTCACCTGGGGAGCACGCTTCCGCGCGAACCCAGCGGGTACATGACGTGGGCCGGCGCCTGGGCCCACAGAGCGGTTCCGGCCGCGCTGTCCCTGCGACTCCGCACACGCCTTTCTGCGGCGAAGAGGGAGCGGGCGCCCGCCCCGAGGGGACCGTCACCGACGAAGGGCCCTGAACGCCGCGCCCGCGTTCGCTCGACAGAAGCTTATTCAGCGCGGGTCACGCGCCAGCCGCGTCCCGGCCGCCCTGCCGCCTGCCCCGGCCCGAATTTCGCCGTGGTCCCTTCCCAGGTCGGGGATGACGGGAAGCTCTCGCCCTGATGAAGTCTGTAATTACCCCTCAAGAACCGGCTTCGGAGCCTTCTCTTTCGGACTCGCTTGTTTAGCTAGTTCTGTGGCCGGCTCAGGGGCAGAAGGCTCCGGGGAATCAGGAAACAGATTAACAAACGCAGCACTAAGGAGCGCTTTGGGCACACCGCAAACGCCAGGGACCCGGGTATCACCCAGTGGGTGGCAGCGGCCCTGGGGAGGGAGGGCTGTCGCCACCGCCGCCCAGCCCCAGGACGACCCAGCCAGGGGCGCGAGTGTGAATAGTCGCATAGGCAGGTTGGATGGAACCTTTGTTGTCTCGTTCAAGATAGGTGTGGAGCGCAGAAAACATCTGAGGACATGCTTTAACATCTCAACTCGATGGTGTGAAGTGGTTTCCCTTTTCCAGGGATTTTATTTGGTGTGGGGAGGAGGGTGCCCCAATGCGAAGGAGAACGCGATAAAGAACTGTAACCATTCATGCTTTAAAAGGTAGGAATAAAAATCACAGGGGAAAAGCAGAACTTAAAATCGAAATTAACGACGTTAGGATTTGCAAGTTAAGTTTTACTTTTTTAACTTTTAAAAATCTGTTATTGAGCACACTTCTTTTGGCACTTTATTAAGAAAAATATACAGAAGAAAATAAAATTTTTTTCTTTTAATAAAAATAATCACACAATAAAGGGATCCTTTTAGCATTCAGCACTGTTTTAATACGGAAGGTAGGGTACTCTCTAGAGCCAACACAAAATGCTTAGACTAAAGGACCTATGCAGGGTTACCATTCTGTTGTGTGGTTTGTGCACTGCGCAAAGCCAGATGGGGCTGAAGTCCACTAGAGTTTAGTTCACCAAGCCCTTTTCCTGGGGGGCCCAGAAAGGGACAGCTAACCAGAAGGGACGCCTTTATTATTGTCTGTACAAAGGAGGCTTTTTAAAATTATTATTCACAGGAAGGTGACTTGTAGGCTAGCTGTGCCTTGGTACTAAAGATACTCCCCTAAAGCAGTACAGAAGTAAACAAATAAATAATTACATATTTGCTGCCCGGTTCTGCTTAATTCAAAGTGACTGGCAGCTTTGGGGTGGGGGTGGTACAGGTCAGGATTAAGGACACAGGCAGAGCCGGGGTGGTAGCTTGGCCCAGAGCCGGCTTCAGATGAAGTTGATCTGAATAGACTTTGACTCCTTAAAAAAATTGTATGAAATCCAAGAAATACTTTCCCCTACTCCCTTACCCAAAATTATGAAAACTGAGATTATATTAGAATATTGGAATATTAGAAATGACTGAGTACAATGATTTCACCAATCATAATATCAAACTTAATCCACACAGAAATTTACAAGGTAGCTTTCCTTTGCCTTGAAGGAAATGTCCATTTATCTCTGCACGATAACTGCAGGAGCAGATGGAAGACACCCCGAGATTCTGGAGTCCAGAACCAGTGCCCCGTGCCTGAGTCTCAAAATGCAGCAAAGTGAATACAGCATGTAATGAGGGTTGGTTCGTTTTAATTAAGCACTTATTCTGTAGTTAGTCATTTATTTCCTCCTCTGGACTAGAGGATCCTTGAGGGTAGGACTGTGTCTTATTTAGTCCCGGTACCTGATACGGCACCTGATACCACGTACGTCCTTAAATGTCTGCTGAGTGAAGGATGGAATGTGTGTATTAGCATTTCCTCTGAAAGATCAGAAAACTGAGCACCCTGCGGAATCTGTCTTGAGGAAGTGCTTTTAACACACGAGTATTTCTCTCTGGTTTCTGAGGCTAAGTTGAGCATCCAGGAACATCGCAGCGTTAGGAACACGTTTGAACATATCCGTTGGGTCCTGAACTCATCTGCTGACAGCTGAACTGTCACTGGCAGCGGAATGTGACACTTTTGCTTATGGGCCACCACTGGAAGCAAAATGAAATTCTGTGCTTTTCTGACTACCCTGGACAATAGGGTTACTAGCGCTCATTCTACTGTGTTTCTGCGGGTTCGTAGAAGTGCGCCCGTCAATAACGTGCCCCCGTCATGGCCGTCTCTCCAGGTGGCCTGTCTCGGGCCGGGAAACTGTCCGGCATTTACCGACTTCACCAGTCATTTGCAGGAGTTATAACAGAACAAGGTTTTAATTTGTGCTCAGTTTTGCTACAACCCGTTGTGCCCATCCCAACAGTGGCTACCGCTACCAATCACAGTGAAAGTGTAGGAAGGGGATGGCCCCTTTCGGAAGGGGAGCAAGTTTCTGGTCCCCTGTGGGGTGGAAGAATACTAAGAGCTGGCCAAACCATCTCTGCTCAAACACAGTCCACATTCTAGAAAGGTCACCTCCGTCGTCATGTGGGTCTTACTGTATCTAGATACCTACCTGGCTTTCCTTTTAAGTGAGATCAGCCCTATTTATAAAACACGAATTTTGTTTGGAAAAAAAGAAGCCATTTTGTAGTCTGGAGCAAGCCTGGGTAGGTCTCACTGGGAGTCCCTGACAGCCAGAGGACAGAGTCCCCAGAGGTGAAGGGGGCGAGAGACAGAGTAAGCAGCGTAGGATGATAGCAGAGAAAGGTGGGTTTATTTTGCGATTTTGCCTAGAGCCCTGAAACTGTCAAGTTTATAAAGCTCATTGACTGTTTTCCTCTAATGTAGGATAATGACGGATTCTTGTAGGATATAGACAAAGATTTAGCAACAGCGTGTTCTTTATACCACGGTTCCTAATAGCAACAAGGTTGGAAGTAACCTAAATATGTGTTGCAAGGATCGGTTAAGTAAACCTTAGTCGTCCATCAGTGGAAAATGGTGCTGGCGTAGAAAACTGTGATGTGAAGTGTCTGTTGACAGGAAAGACATTACAAAAGCCTGGCGTTTCTCCTAGTCCTGACCCTCCTCCCCCTCTCCTCGCACATCCCGAGTTTTCCTGGGGGAGCACACTCCCTCAAGCTCTGTCCCTCAGGTCCACCCCACCTGCAGCGCCAGGGCAGGCTGGGGACACAGCCTGCTGAGGACAGTTCACGTTCCCGACCACAGGGGCTGGTCAGGCGCCCAAGCCCCACGGGCCAGCGGGGGCCAAACAGACTGGATTCTCAGGCTTCTGTTGGACCGTTGCAAAGCAGAGCCTCGTGTGGGCGAGACTGCCAGGCTGGGAGGATGTGGTCGCCGGGGTCACCACGAGGGGGGAATGGCTGCAGAGTAAGTGGTGGAGGGATGGAGAGGACGTCCTTTGAGCTCCCGACTTTTCAATCACCCAACTGAGAAGCTCCCTTTTGCGGTTTAAGCCAGTCTGGGTTGGGTTTCTGTCATGTACAATGGAAAGAGTCTTGGCCAGTACAGATGTTCATGATATCATTGTGCGAAATAGCGGGTTCCAGGACATCAGGTTCCATGTGATTCCATTTTAGTGTTTTTTCAGGCATACCATATACTTATTTATGTCTACGAAAAATTCTGAAGAGAGACATGAAAATGTTTATAGTGTTATCTCTAGGTGGAAGATTGCTGGTGATTTTTATTTTATTCTCTTTGCTTATGTCAATGTTCTAATTCCATTTCAGACAAGCGCGCATTATTTGTATAATAGTAGAGCAATGTTATTTAAAAAGAAGGACTCCCAAAGGGACTCAGGCCTCGGAGTCCTGGCATCCGTAGCTTCTGGTCTCCAGGGCTGCTGTGGTGAGCAGGACGTTGGAGAAGCGCAGCCCTCGTCCACGCTGAGCCACCTGGAAGAGTTGTCGCTCCATCTCCGGTGATCTCTCAGCCTTGTGGTAATGCTTAACTTGCTAAGAGCTCATTCATTCATTCATTCATTCATGCATTCTCTAAGCACTTCTGAGCACCACGATCTGGGGTTAAAGATGTACAGACGAATGGACTGGACCTCAGCCCCTTTGGCTAGGGAAACCATCGTGAGCAGATTACTCTACAGCTTGGGACCCTGTGCAGAAG